AAATAACTTATCTGTATGACCATTCTTCCACAACCCCAAAAGTTAGATTTATAAAGGCATTGTATGCATTTGTTTTTATTTGCTCCCTTTGTAATTAGTACCAAGGACCTCCCAAAAGACAGCTTATAGTATAACACATCCAGGCTCCAGAGGGATTCCAGGTATCGCCACCTCCTGCTTTTCCCTTATGGTTTTTACACTGAGCTGCAACCATGCAACATAAGGTGCCACTGGGCGAGTGAGGGAGGGAGGGAAGTGGCAAAGTTGGGAACACGCAACTTAATGAATGATGGGATTGTCAGTCACTTCGATGTCAGGGCCCACATCTACACACCATGCACTGGCATTGATCTTGCCCTGCCCACTCGGCCCAGAAAGGCAGTGAGAGTGCCTCTTCTCATGCCCAGCCACCATGTCAGTCTTGGTCGCCATCGGACGACTCTTCCTCTGCCTCCTCCAGCCACTGGATAAACTTCTGGAGCTGCAGAGAGAGTGAAATGTAATCGGGTAACAAGTGACACCAAACAGATGCTGGGAATGCTCAACAACTACACTGTGTCAGTGAGCACCGCTATCACGCACAAGAAAGAGAAAGGATGTTTCTAGGAGACATGGAGACAAGGCAGCTTGAAGAAGAGCGACACAAAAGTTTAGATTAAAACCAACTGGGACGTCACAGACAAACCCAGACTGATTAGATTCCTGAGGGAGATTCCTCCAGTCAGACAATGCCCACAACACTCAGCAGAAAGACAAAAGTTTGAGAGTCTTCCAGAACTTGAGGGAGAATGTGACAGCTGCACCTCAGCTAAGACATGTTAGGAAAACTCTGCTGGGAAAAACCTACTCCCTGAGAAATTGCTATGAAGCAGGCAGCTCATTTTACCTTTTAAGTGGGCTCGCATAAGCGGCTGAACGTACTGCTGACCTATACTAAGAGCTGACTTTGCAAAGGTTTTAAACAAAGCTAGAGTTCTTCAGAGATGGCTTTTTTCCCCTGCTCCTCTTCCAGATCCAGGGAGGAGGACTGGAACTGGCCTCAACCAAACTGCAGCACAAAGTTCTGCCTGATGGAGGGGGGGAAGTTTATATGCTCCTTGCAACACAAGCCAAACGAAACCACTCAGTACAGCAAACACTTAGAAATCTATGTGAAGGGACTGGTGAGCCAGGAATGAAAGCTTCAAAGGAATTGCATGGGGCCAGCACACAGGGCATTGGCCTAAAGCCCATTTCCAATGGGTGTTGGCTTAGAGAAGCTGCGCTGCTACTCCAGCAAGTGCTGGCCTCGTGCTACAGAGAGCCCACCAAAAACAATCACCCTCTCCTACTACCTCCATTCCTCATCCCAACAGGATGATTATGGTAGAATGCACAGAAATGTCTGTTCTGAAGAATAAAGTTGTGTTGCTCAGTGTTCAACACACTGGTGTGTTACTGGCCTACCATGTAACAGCAGCTGCTCCACAGAAGGCATCAGTGGCACCAAACTCCACTCAAAGTTTCTTTTAGCAGCTGTTGTCTCTCTCTCTCTCTCTCTCTGTCCTGCCCCCTTCAAACACCTTTGGGACTTACCCGCTGGTTTTTACGAAGTTGCCTTCCCTTGTCAGACGTGTCCCTCAAAGAGAACCAATTGAGAATTACATCTTCCTCCAGAATTTCCAGCTGATAGAATGTCATCAACACCTGCATCAATAAGAAAAGAGCAACAGGGCTCTCTATAAACTCTTTTGGGGCTAGCTCATGTCTGAGCACAAAGTTTGCACATAATCTCTGTCTCCCAGCTCCATCTTCAACAGAAGGCAGTCTGCTTCATTTTGCTTTTACTGTTAAAAATAACCGTGTTTCTCCTACCAAGCCTTATGTTCCTGACAGTTAGATGCTACGACACGTAATGAGTCAAAGTTGAAGCCCCATCAGCTTCAGCTCTGTGGATGCAGGTTATGACTGCAAGGCAACAAAGGGCCACAGAGGATGTCAGTTCAAGACGTTAAATTCTCTTTCTAAAGCACCCCAAAACCCATCACCACAGCAGATCTAACAAGCAACTCTTATGCAGTTCCACACAAGCACAACAGTGACAACAGTGCAGAGAAGAGCAGGAAATCTATCCAGCTCTGCCCCAGGCTCCCTCCTCCTGCCAGTTCTGTCTTAATACTGCCTTGTGGTGGGTGTCAAAGCAATTGGTCATCAGCTCAAACTCCTGGCCAGTGCAGCAAGGGCGAGATGCAATCCTGCTTTCTCAGGGTGCCTTTGTGCTCAGGCAGAGCAGGCACTTTGCAGTCACTCTCCTTTCGGTAGAGCACTGACAAAGCTGGCTGCTAACTCCAAATATAAAGTGTCACTTCAATTCCTAGCCTCCAGGGAAACCCAGGCCCCTAGAACAATGGACACATGCCAAACAATTGCTGTAATTCCAGGATATATTGGCTCACCAAACTCAAGGCTTTTGGCTCCAGTCCTAAGTGCTTTGCCATTAGCCAGAAGCACTGGTAGCAGAAGTTAGGATCACTCTTTCTTGAGGAACCAAGAGGCTCTAGGAGAGCTCTTGCAAGGGCAAAAAGAATGCAGGGATAAAATATTTATGAAGGAGGGTGAAGAGGAATATGCTGAAAACTCCCAGAAGCAGGGAGATGGGTAATAAGCCACATGTCAGCTCCTCTTTATTCCCAGTTTCATCACTAGCTCAGCCTGAATAAGAAATCCCACGCTTATTCCTAGCTTTGCTTGTTTTGTGCTCTAAAGTAGGATAAACCATTTGGCAGTTAGATCCCAGGGACCGTGGAGAGACAAATGAAGTAAAGCTCTTCCTAAAGCAAGCCTTTGGCCTCGCCTCTTCCAGTGTCACACAAGAAGGGCATCTAGGTTAGAAGCTGCAAAATAATAGCTCCCTTCAGGCTGCATACTGGTAATTAATACTCACCCTCAGCTGTGCTCTCTCAGAGGCACAGGCAGACATAGAGGTTTGGGGTTTTTTTTTTAAAGTAATTGTTGTAGATGTATTTTCTATACACCCTCTCCACTGAGACCCCAAAATTCTCTCCTCTGAAGCAGACAAGCTGATGATGCAAACAGGATGCATTTCACCAGTAATCTAGCAAAACCAGGTCCTCAGAGTGGAGGGTGGATACTCACTTTAGCTATCGATGTGCAGAGACTGTCATGTTCCAGGAAGAATTCCTCAATGGCAAATAAGGCATTCAGGTGATCTGACGCCCGTTTTATGTAGTTCTTAAACAACGGGGTCCAGTTCTTCAACAGCTGCAGGGGAAAAACACAGAAGACTTCCTGAGCTATGAGATGGATGTGTGTGCTCAGGACTGTTTCTCAGCTGTGCTGCACTAAGAAACTGACCCAGGGAAGCATTTTAAGAAACCATTCAGTTAACCACTGAATGTATTTGCCCCACTCTGTCCACAAAACAGAAGCTATTAAGTCTCACACATGCAGATAAGACCTGCTTTTACCAAGCATCTTTGAGGATATCCGTTAGCTTTCTTGGTTTTGCCTCTCTGGATGGAATTATCTTCCTAGATAAACTAGGTTATCATAACAAATGTGTTTCATGGAGTCTGGTACTCAAAGAAAATCACAGCAGACCAATAAGGAAAGGTACATACATGCTACTCAAACCTTCCCCCCACAGAGCAGCTGACGTTTCAGTGGAACTTTCCTTCAAAGCAGAAGAGCAAATAAGAAAAAAGATAAAAAAAGGTAGTGCCAGGATAATTACCAGCTGAGTATAAGTGGACAGTGCAAAATAGCCACTCCTAAAACAGGGATGCAGGGGAACAGCCCCTAAGTGCAAGTCACACATTTGCTGTGTGCCTTCAGACCTCTCTGGATCCTGGAGTCTGCTGCAGGGAATGAGTGGGAAGAATGAAGGACAAGAAGTTGTTACACTATGAGCTGATCTCAGTTCCCTCCTCCAAGGCTTATTTTTTAATGAAGTCTTTAGTTTAATGATTTTGGTGCTGCCTCTTCAAGCAGTATTTCTGTTTGAGCACCCCACAGCTCTTTCACTTGTACATATCTGGAAAGCAAGGGGCAGGTAAAGCTCTGCAAAGCAGCACAGACTGACCTGAATCTAGGACAGGAGGTAATAAAGATACTTACTTAGATTCCTGTCCATAACAATTTTAAAAGGTACCCAAACTAGTATAAGATATAAAAATTCTTCATTGGCCACATCATGACCAGACCATCCTACAAAAACATTGAAGGAAATCAGAGTTCTACATCTTTTTAAATGGATTAATTCAACAGCAGGCATTGATAATTCCTGCAACTACATCCCTGATGTGCCCGTACAGATACACAGTTTTGCTGTGCCTTCAACAGCGTCTCCTTACAGAATACAACTGGTCTGTTCCGAAGGGGGACAGATAATTCACAGGGGCTTGGGGTGTGATGAAGAAGCTCTGAGTCACCTACATTCAGGGTTAATCAGCATTATTCTGTCCAGGACAATTGTTGACAGGCAGTAGCCCTGCCAGAGGGAGAGCTCCAGGACACGTAGTGAAGCTAGAACCCAGGCTGGAGCAGATTACCAAAGGTAGCCTGTACTAGGAAACAGTGCTCAACCACTCCATAGTACCACATTCCATCACCTCCTCAGACACATTTGCTATGAAACCAAGGAATTTGCATGCCTCAAGCAGAAACAAAGAAGAGGATTAGTACAAACAAACTGATCTGTACAGTAGTACATCAGCTGGCTCAAGGAACAACAGTAACAGCACAGAATGATCCTAATCATCATGGTATCACAACAAAAACACCTGAGGGTTGCATGGCATATTTCCAGAAAGTATTTTAGCCTTTAGAAAATGCTTGATCCTAAACACTCTTCCCTCCTCTAAAACCATCTCCTGCATTTTTATTATCCTTTGGAATTCTTCACCTCAAATGTAATAAAGCTACTAGCAAGTTCCTTCCAGGCTAAGAAATATTTTCTAGTACCTTTCTGTTAACACCTTTAAATCATAAGCAGGCACAATTCTAACCAGAAGCTATCAAGTTTCTGAAAGCAAGTTACTTATAAAAGAAAAAAAAAAAGGCAGAGCTATAAACACTCACAACCCCAGGACTCAATCCAGTGTGCCTATTGCTGGGAAAGGGAAAGAAGAAAAACCATACCAGCTCAGGTCAAGAACATGCACTGCACTGTAACTGGTGCTAATGGGGAAAGTAGGGCTCAGCCCCACAGAGCCCCAAGCAAAAACATGTCATGAGCCTGGAGGCCAAGAAAGGCTCTTCTGGGACTTTCATGAAAGTCTGAACTGGGGAATTAGAAGCTTGTAATTACTTTAGATTGAACAAAAGACTGAAAAATGTGACAATATAATATCTTTCCAGGCTTTGACTCTACCCTGGGTAACTCCTCAAAACAATCTACAGTCTGAAGAAATCAATTAAATTCCTCTGGCAGGTAGGTTCATTTTTCATTGGATCTGGTCAGTGATGCTGTAGCAGCTTCAGAGAGGTTTGTGATCTGCTTTTCTTTTGTCAGAAGGACAGTCTCAACATCTGGCCTATTTTTTACCCTTACCTCCAGCGCAGAACACCATCGTGACGTATGTGCAAAGCAGAAGGCAAATAATTCCAGCCTGTTACACCATAACAGCACCTGTGCTGATCACCATCAACCGCTTCAGCGAAAGCAAAGATCCATTTGGTCCCCGAATAAGCGATTCCATTCTGTGTGCACTTGAATGTCATTACAAAAGAGCAAGGCTCCCTGACAGAAACCCCAAGAAGTGCACCCACATGCCAGCTGCCGGGCAGCAGTGCAGACACTGGCCAGCTCAGCAAACTGACCTGCTATGTTGCCTCCCCTGGCTCCCTTTAGACACCCTCACCTACATAACCTTGTCTGATGCTGCTTCAGTGACGACAGAAGCACAGCCTCCAGTTTATAAGCAACTTCAGCCACGTTTGCTCAAATCATGTCTACAGTTCTAGGAAAGGTGAGGTTTTCTGTATCATCTCTGCTTTACAATTTGGACAAGAGCTGAACAAGATGCCTGACGTACATCGAACTGGATAACTATTTCTCAAGCCTCCATGTTTCATCTGAAAAATACCCATGGGCATATCTTTTACTGGATGCTTGTTTCCTAAAATTGCTGCAACACTTGAGAGCTTCATGTTCAGGGGCCAGCACTTCAGAGCACATACTGTGGTTTCAAGTCAAACCATACATCATAACTATGGCATTTCCACAATTTCCCCTCCTGAGCTGTCTGGGACTGCTCTGCCATCACTCTTACACAAGCAACCCATCTTCCTTCAGCATCTCTTAGTCAGAGCTGAGCTATAAAGAGAAACAGGTAACAGTTCTGTAAAGTTCAGTGCACTTCTGAATGCAAGTATCCCCATCTCACACAAAACAACACTTTGCCATATGTAAACCATGATAAGCAGATCTCAGCCTAATACCAGTATTGACTGAGGCAGTTTCAGCTTCATAGCTACAGACTTCAGCTACGTGCTTTCATTACGTAACTAGCCGATTCCCTACCTCCACTCCTCAACCCAAACATACTGGGTTATTGTCCTGGTGACTAACATCATGCATACAACTGAATATTGACAGTACACCTCACCAGGATACTGCCTTCCCGCTGCCTTCAGTACAGAAAGTCAACACAACAGTTCTGCACACAGTAAAGACACTGAGCCACTAAACTGTCACAGAGAAGGACGCTCTAAAACTTCCTGGTTGTTCTTTATTATGGAGCATCTGGAGAAACTGGCTGCCATGATGGGCAATTGGTCTGACACTTGTCTCTCTTTGGTAAATCTAAGGATGATTTGTGTTTCATAAATGCCACACAATTCCCTACCTACAGAAATTCCATTTGTCTATGATGTGGGGCATGGTCACGCTGAATATTACATTTATATTATTACTGATTCTCACTGCAGGTGAGTTGATTTGCTGTCTCTACTGTTGAACATGAGCATCAGCTTCCCTGTGATGAAATATACAAGGACAAAGTTACCCAGAGGTAAGTCACAGAATCATAGAATGGTTTGGGTTGGAAGGGACCTTAAAGCTCATCAAGTTCCAACCGCCCTGCCATGAGCAGGGACACCTTCCACTAGACCAGGTTGCTCAAAGCCTCATCCAGCCTGGCCTTGAACACTTCTAGGGAGGGGGCATCCACAACTTCCTTCATGTACTTCCATTGTCTTCAGCTTCTAAGGGGTTTTGGGCAATTACACAAAACTTTTTGCATGTATATAGTATCCTCTATCCCAGACTAGATGCCCAGTCTGGGAGACAGAAAGAGATGCCATTTCCTAGCTGGGAAAAAACCCCACATCCTACAGAGCTACCAACTCCACACAACCTGTTGTGTAGATATACTGCTTTCCACCTAGACTCTAACACCTCCTCTAACATTCCTTTCAGTCCTCCCCCTTCAGTTCTCTTTTTCCAGGACAGGACATCATATTCAAGACAACAGTCTGGAAAAATGAACAAAAGCAAGCAGAATTAAAACAGAGCAAACAGCAAAATCTCACTAAGCCATCTGATGAACAGATCAGTTCACATGGACGTTCGTTTCCTACAGAAAGCATCTCCACAAGTCCAGGAGACTAATTAAGTGCTATGCTTACACTTACATGAAGAAGAACTAGTTTTCCACCCTTATCCATCAATTGAAAGCATCTACTTCCTCAGAGAAAGGATGATGAGGAAGTCTAGTATTCCTCTTTAGCTCCATCTCCTAAAAAACCTAAACTAGTCTTTCTCAAACAGGTGTCAGACCCATTCGTTCTGAAAGACGACCTTCGTAACTCAAATATACAAATGGACTATGGTGAAGAGACAAAAACACTACAACAGCTTCAGCCTGGATCAACAAAACCATTGAGATAAGACTGCCTGCTTTTTAAAGCAGATCCTACTCTATTTTGTCTCCTTTAAGTCAGGAACTAGAAGTTGTTCTCACCAGATTATGCAACCCCAGTCCCTTTAGAGACACAATAGAACTCTGTATCTTCACCCACACATAACAATATCGTGCCTTTGCATTTGGCTGGAAAAAAATTGGCACCAATTACAGTATACAGATAAGTAACAACCTTGGAAAGAATTCCACTGGGAGAAGAGCACTCCCTGCTGCCCCAGGATGAGGCTTGTGATGGATTGGAACCAGGTTCCTGGAATGCAAGTCTGTAAAGACATTTCTAACAGTCCCTCTCTTTTCTCTTCTACAAGTGATGCACTTCTGTCACACAAAGGAAACAGAATCAACCACAGGTACTGAAGCAGAGCTCCCTACACCTACAGTCTCAGCTGAGTTCTGTCAAGCAGGTACAATAGTTTCTGTTCAGCTTTACTTCGAAGACAAAGAGGCTCATGAACTAATGAGGAGTTCAAGTGGCTTCAGGCGTAACCAAAAAGACTTCTCAGCCAGGAAGTACCTGGGGCATCCTGGCAGACTCCTACACACTAGGAGACAAGCCCAAAGAAGAGTCAAATGTGAGCAGGACTCACAGGAAGTAATGCTGAGAAATAGTTCTGGGAGTCCAGGTTTGCATCCAGCTGCTGCAGTGGGAATTCCAGGATCACTTTACTGAGCACCTGCATCATCTCCTTCAAGCCAATGTTATAGGCATACCTGCAAGGAAAAAAGGCAAAAACCCCATTGTTTCACACTATCTGACCTCTGCCCGTTGTGGCTCTTCACAGAGATACAGCAGAAAAATTTATTTTCATCTTCTGGTCAGGTTTTTTTGTTTGGTTGGTTCTCCAAATAGTCAGGCAATAAAACCACCTTGTGTTGCATCAGGCCCTGCATAAGGCTACAAGTCATGAAAATCTGCTATCACAGTGGAACCAGCTGCTGCAGGGACAGCACCCTCACATTTACTAGAGTGCTGTAGGAACACTGTTGCACAAAAGGGAAACAGGTTTGTATTTGAGAAATACTAGGTAAAAGGCACTCTGATCATGTGTTCCAGACTTGCTGCTGTAAAAACAGAGTGGACAAGTGACATCACAGCATAGCCCCAGCTGCAGGCAGCTGTTTGAATGCTGCAATGCACAGAGCAGCAGCCCCTGCATGAACTTACAGGCAGTCTGTGCCAAGAACTGCCTTAGTCTCTTCAGTCCACAGTTACTTGATAGCAATTCAATCTCTTGTTACAGAATTGGGGCAGGAAAAGCCTAGCCACTGAGGATGCTATAGACGCAGCTGGTGCTCTCCATTAACTCCTGTCGTCATTCAGTCATGATATCTAATACACATTTCTCATGCTCTATACTAATAAAATTAACATTTAACCATCACACATGGGTATTCACATTGTTTCTCCTCTTCTTGGGCTGTCAAACCCAACTGTTCAGCATAAGGGACAGCATTGCTAAGGGAACACTCACTTGAGGGAGTTGATTTCCAGGACCAGGTTGTCACAGGAAATGTTTTCTTCTTCGCCCCTCTGTAATGTGCCCAGAACCTCATTCTGGAAAACTAATGGAAGAAAGAACAGGTAGTTAGAGAGGAAAGGGAAAAGCACAGATTATTCAAACTGTTTATTACTGAAGAAACTATGCCCTTAACAAAGGAAGCATTCTGGCATAGCTTTCTATTCACCCTCCAAAAGCTGGCACAAACCTACATCAACTATACTTATAAATAGTGGAATAGAATTCAAATAAAGCAGACTACCTACTAGATATCACTGATTTCCTACTAGATATCACTGACTACCTACTAGATATCACCTTTTACCAAGCCATTCTATGATCTATCCACACAAACCAGTACAAAGTTATTTACCTCTGTAACCTTTTAGAGCAGAGTTTCTATTATCTGGCTTCTCCTATTCAGACAAACCTTATCTTCCCCTCACTAAAAATGTGGATTCAAACCTAAAATTTATTGGTTTAATTTCCTTTGGGGAGATATTTTAACATGAAAAAGGCTTTTTTTTTTTTTCCCAATTTGGCTTGAATCCCTTTCAAATACAGGTAACACAACAAAACAGAAAACCAAAATGTATCTGCCAAAAGAGGCAGCTCCTACAAGGACATTTAATTCTCCAGCACGATTACAGCATTAAGCCTTTCACACAGGGAAACTCTGCTGGACTGTCACACATTCTCTGAGTTTGGGCAATGACACTGCTATTTAAACAGACAACTCAGGGAGGTAAATTTCATGAAGGCCCAGTGATCAGGAGTGAGAAAGATGGAGGATCTTTATCTAGCTTCTTGTCCTTGGCTGCCCTGGGTTAACACAACAGCAATATGAGGAATACTAAAGAACTCTGTAGAAAATGCAGGAAGTGAGGTCAGAAAACAAACATATTCTAGACATCCACAATTTTTCCAGTATACCTAGAGAAAGCAGCACAAATCGCACACTCGCTGCATTATCTTCAGACCCACCACACTTTTTAACAGCCCATCTCTCACCTTTGATGTCATCCAGCTGAGGGGATGCTGCCCGACTGTCTGGCTCCTCAGAGCCCATGCTCAGGTCACTGTCTGACTCACTCTCTTCCTCGGAATTTATAGCTGGGCCTGGGGAAGAAGAGAGGATGCAGCATTCAATACTCAAAAGCTGCAGCTGTCATATTCATGAGGAACCAGGTGTCCCAGGGACTTTCCAACCAAGTCAGCAACTATCTGTCCTTCTACTTAGAGGTCCAGATGACTAGATTTGCTGCAGAGGGAATGCTACAGCTGGCACTAGGATAATAGGACTTTTTAAGAGTCTGCAGGCAGACAACAAAGGACAGGGACAGAAACAAATGCATTTTGCACAGACTGCTGACTCATGGTGGAGCAATGTCAGCAGATGCTGTCACTAGCAGGAAGGAAGCCAGCAGTACCCAGAATAGCCAAAGCATATTCCCTTTAAGGGAGGGCCTGGTATCCCACAGTGTGCCACTCACAGCACCGACAGCTGCGTGTGTCAGCCAAGTCAAAGGTATAACAAACATCTTCCACAGAGCACAGGAGGACAGAGAATCTGGTCCACCACCTGCTTTCATCTCTCACCTTGCCTCCATACACACATGTTTTTTGGAGGGAGTCTTCTTCACAAAGCCCAGGTCTTACTCTAGACACAATTACCAGCCAGTTCCCTGACACAAGTCTGTCTGTCCATCCCCAGGTGACTACACTATATTCTTCCTCACCCCATAGGCTTTGTCTCTGCTCTTCATCCTCTTCATTCTTGTCATCTGCTTTCCAGAGGTAGCCTCTGCCCTCTGAACCTACATCCTTTTTATTGTAACCTGAAAAAGAAACAGCGGTTAGCAGGTAGATGTCCTGAAACTGCTTACAGGCAAACCTGAAACAGACTTGTATAACCTGCACGTTACTGCCCCTAAACATCAAGAGGGAGCTGGGATTCAGACTCAGATTTCAGATGCACAGACATTTCAGATTTTATCTTCTCACTTGCCTTGATAAGTCACCAACTTATTCCTCCCTACAGCAGCAACGTTCAGCTGACCATGTTTAGATTCCTCCACAAACAGAGACTGGCAGAAACAGTATTTTACAAGGACAAAGTCCTTGGACACAGTCCAGGTACAAGGATATAGATCTTGCAACCTGCCTTGAATTGAACATCTCTTCCACCTTCAGTTTATTGTCTCCTACAAGGGCCTTACTCTAAGAAAAATGGAAAATAGCTGAGTCTCCAAAGATTTTAATACTGGGAGTACCGAAGGTACATCTCACTGTCCAACTTGAGCCAAATACCCTTGCTTGCCCTACTGAAAACACAAATGTTCCAAGCTGAATGCAGCACTAAGCTCCAGCCTGGCACTGCAGAGTCTAGAATGGGGGAGGGAAAGACCCCAAAAGATCAGGGAAGGCAAAGCCCTCTGCATAGCCTGAGTGCAGTGAGACAGAGACCCTCATACCTTTCAGTTTCACTTTGCTTTCCTCCTTGTTCACACCAGAATCATCACTGAACTCGTCATCATCATCCTCCTCCTCATCTGGTGGGTGCAAAGAGATCACTGTGCCCTCTGAAAGAGTGATGCCAGGACCGATCACTACCTGCAAACACATGCAACATATCTTAATGAAGAAGTATCCTGATTGCCCCCTCGTATCTCCACCAGCGGGAACAACAGCTGCTCCAGACAAGCTCTATACTAACAAATATAACTGAAGACATCCGCACTGCTGGATCACACACCATGCTACCCTAGCCAAACAAAAGGAAGAAAAAGGTGGGAGCAGTTACATACCCCCCACATCTGCAAAAAGGCTTGGAGCACCCCTGTATTCTGGTGTGGTGGTCTCCTGTAAGGCTAGTAACCTGCCAAGAAAGGCAAAAAGCAGAACAGACATAAATACAGCTCACCTGAGAAGAGAGGACACAGTGGGGCTTTAGCTTTACTTTCTCCTTCACTTCAGCTTCATCACAGATAACGGAATGGCAGATCTCCACGTTATCTGCTATGTGTACTCTGTCCCAGAGAAAAGCTCCATCCAAAACAACTTTATCACCTGTTATACATCACCAAGCACAAATATGTTAAGCAAGGCAGTCTGCTGCTCTCCCACACTGCTGAGCCCGCTAGAAAGCATCTTACTGAATCCCAGTGCCCTTGATACATGATGGATGTTAGGTGAAAGGTAAAAATTGGCCTTTAAGGCTTACAAACACTTCTTACCCAAGGCTAAAAGACAAGCTTGCTCTCTACCGAGACTTAACGAGTTGACAGTAACAACTGACACCTTGGTTTTGCACAAACACAGCCAAATCACAAAAAAAAAAAAATCCAGCCAAGATGTGGAAGGAATACCACCAGGCAGGTCACAAAACCAGGGAAAGATGTCCCTTTGTGCAGGATGTTGGTGGGTGATAACTCTAGATCAGTAAAGGTCATGCATTCTCTACTTATTTGCATGAAGTGCCTTCCACTTTTCAGCATCATTATGGTACCCTGAAAACTTTGATCTATTTCCTCTGCTGCAAAACCGAGCTTTTTCTCCTTTCTTCCCATTAGAAGTCAATCAGTAGCCACCTATCATCCTCTCCCAGAGCCAAATGCACTTTAAAAACTAAATCTTAACAAGCTGTGCCCTTGCCTGGCAAGTCCTGCATGTCCCCCACTCTTGCACTCACCTATCCTACAGTTCTGCCCAATAACACTGTTTTTTACGGAGCAGTTGCTGCCGATGACCGTTCCTTGCCCAATGAGTACGTTCTCTTCCAGCACGCTGCCGTGGCCGAGACTAACATCCACCCCCCGGTAAATATTGTGTTTAGAATGGGTGTAACTCTGATTCTTGTCATCACTGAAGTTCATCTCTGGAGTCAAAGGATAAACCCAGCGCCGGATGATGTCAGAGCACACAGCTTCGTACATGAGCAGGTTGCATATATGGGCACCGTACTCTTCTGTCGTTACGTGCATGTGGATCTGGTTCCCCAGGACCTGCAAGACAGGCAGGAGCCTTTCAGAAAATTCTTTCATGCTAGGCAATAGGATCTCCCTTGTAACAACCCTCTCCTTACCTCCTCATTCACCAACAGACCACGCACAAAGTCATCCCGTGTCTGGTAATCAAAATTGTCTGTGAACAGCTCAGCCACCTGCCAGGAATAAAATATAAGGAAATAATATAGTTAGCAGAAAAATTTGCCAGGGGAGCCAGATAATTAATGGTTGTTCAGTGGTTCTCAGAGAGCTGAGTTATACAGTATAGGAAAGTGATGCTCTTGCCTTGAATAAAGCTTTGATTCCTTCTGCTAGGAGTGTTGGCCTTCCCATCTCCTCCTCCTAATGGAGACTATGAACAGATTCTGGTTTTCAGAAGGGGTAAAACACTGCTTTAGCACTTCCAAGCCATCCTCTCAGCCTCACTTTGTAGTTTCAATCCCAAAGGAAGGCTGTAGACCAGCTTTTTCAGATGTGGAAGAGATGTTAGTGAGCCTAGGCTGGAATAACTCTGAATGTTACCCTAACATGGTACCAGCTTGCAAGTACTGACACTTTTCCACAGCACAGCCATCACCTCTGCTCCACAAATGTTACTATACTCAAAATGAAATTGTTTATTTTCCAGAATAGTTTCATTCTGTGCCAAATCAGCCAGTCTACTGATGCATTCACTGCTTAGTTGTGCCTGGGCTCGGGCAGTGGATGCCAGATACAGACTGAGCACCCATATAGTCTGCAGAGCAGTGCCACATGATGACTCAGGCTCTCAGTGCAATCCCTGAGCACAACTGGGAGTTCTGGTTTCCAAGCCCAGTACACTCAGGCCACATGCATCCCCTGCACACTAGCAGGACAAAGGGAGCAATGCAGATCGAATTGGACCCTTAGAAGGGCAGAGCTCACCTGTGGAGAGCAGATGCTGATATGACAGTCCAGCAAGTCATGGCGCACCTCAACATTCTCAATAGAGTTCTGGAACAGACTCTGAAAGAGGAAAAAATTCAGATTATCTAAGTGCCTTACGCAGTACCGAACCCCAAAAGCCTTCTATAAGCCAGGTGCAGTATTGACTGAATTAATAAACTTGCTGAAGTTCTGAAGATCAGAAAAATCTACAATCTACACTGAGACACAAGCTTAGTAGGCTCAGCAGGCACATAGAGCTGCGTGTCAGTCAGCAGAGATTTCGTCCTTACACAGTGCAGCTCTCAAAGAAACAGCCTGTACTTTGAACAATCACTTTTCCTCCAGGAGGCTCCTCACCTCAGTCACTGGGAGCTACAAATATCAAAGAACACTAATAAATCAAAATGCAGTATTCGTAGCTTCATGTGGATTTTTACAGCTGTGGGGGGTTGCTTTCTGGGGTTTTTGTTTGTTTGTTTTGTTTTTCCTTTTTAGTTTCATGCAGTGATTTCTGCTATCATTTGAAGGTAAAAAATTATTTACTGACTACTGATTTTGGGATGAAAATGTCACATAATCACAATCTTAGTTCTAAGATGAAAAAATAAAAAGGACAATTTATTTCACTGGAGAAAAGTGCCTCCACAGACATTTACAGGGCATTTACTACATTGTTAGTAGAGCCCATAACTCTTTTAGGTCTACAATACAGACAGAGGTAATTGCACTTACTGTTATTCTACCCAACCATGTCAGGCTCAGTGCTGCTTCAAAATGGTTTGTGTACGATAGAGGTTTATGCATCCCAATTTAGGAATCTCTGCAACAGCACAAATCATCCACTGCCCTTGTTTCACATGTAGAAAAGGAGTCAAGTTATGGCAAAAACTAAACTGTGAGAAATAAGCCTACCCTATCTTCAAACTCTGAAATGAGTCCCAAAGATGTGTGCTCCAGCACAATTTCACCAAGCCTCAAATAAACATTAAAGGAAAAAAAAGCCAGTTTACCAAGAGTCACTTCCTATCACTTGCTCCTCCAAAAGAAGCAGCAAGCACAGTTCCCCAGCCCTCACTCAAGGAGAACCTCCTTGGGCTGAGCTGCTTCACTACGGCAGCCCTTTTCCACCCATCAGGTTCCAGACGCACCATAGGGAAGCGGAAGCGTTTCAGCCCCTGGGTTCTCTGGTAATGAAGGACACGGTTTGTGGCACTGTCCATAGCAATAACAATGTCATCCTCTTTGCACCTAGCATGGTGACCAGGTGAGGACTCCTTGAATATCATTGTCATCACAGAAACATTCTTTTCCATCTTACGACGCAACCTGAAAAAGAAGGGCAGAACTTTAAAATCATTTTTCAGAGAATTAAAGCCCAGAGTCTCAGCACACCAGGTAAACTCTATGCTCCTTTCAACACCTACTTGTGCTCTTCCAGGGCTTTGGATATATTGAAATTGGACACCACATCTCCAGTGACGAGAATGAAGTCAGAGCGAACAAGGGACTTGGCATCAACGTCTCGTAGCACGTCCCCAAGGGAGCGGTACAGGTCAGAAGTCACAAAGCGCACCGTGTTGGGAGAGGTGTGGCGGCACCACTTGGATTTTCTGGAAGGAGAAAAATACATCAGGAAGGCAGAAAGAGATATTCCTACAGAGAACATACTGGGGGACAGAGCCCCAGTGCACCCCACATCCGTAAGTGAATGCAAGGGGAATCCATCACAACGACCCCACTATCGATAGGCTTAGGTACGCCCATTTGCACACAGCAGATGAACTGAACAGCGTTAGGCTTTGAGACTGTAACTTATGGAACCTTAGGAAACTTGACTCCACTGTGAGCCAAGTTTTGACAGAGGAGAAGGAAAAGTTACACACAACCCAAACTTTTTTTCCTCAAAAAGCAGTACCTCAGGCAGGGAAAAGACTGCACACTTCTCTTTAGCGTGCAAACCTGCAGCACGCAGAGGCAAAGCTGCTCAGAGAGCTGTTTCCAGATGTTGCACAGCACACCAAGGCATAATACAAAAGGTGGTGCTCTCATTTACATGGCTACCCACAGGAAACTCCAGCTTTTAGACCAGAGAAGTTAAATGCCAATATAAATGCAGTCCCAAAACACTGAACCCTTTTAATACATTGCACAACCACACTCCTTCACAGGAGGAATGGTCTTTTTTGAGATGTGCTAGGAGACAACTGTTGAAAGGGACTCTCTTGCATACGGTTTTCATCTGAAGGATCAGTGAGACCTTTGAAGCTTGTTGGATGATAGAAGAATCCTTTCCATGATAAAACTAAAAAGAATAAAAGATTCTTACTGTAAATGCTCTTTTATCTCAGCTGACTTCCAACAGCAGAAAACAAAGGTTTCTTCCACTCCGGTTGCTGTTAGGAACTCCAACGTATAGTCAATCACAGCCACATTTGCCATAGGTAAAAGAGCCTAAAAATAAAAAAAGACACAGAGATAGCTGAACAAATACTCCGTACCTCAACATCAGCAACAGGCCCTTACAGCTTGAGGATATATTATCAGTGGTGCCAGAAAAATAACACAAATAACTGCTCTACCTCCTTTTATAAAAAATTTCCAAAGTTGATCTAAACAGTAAGAGCTAGTTTCTGATCTTCTACTGTGACTGATCCTCTCTTCAGAGAAGAAAGCATAAAAGAAGTGAAGTTATCACACCTAAAACTATTCAAGATGACTCAAATAAGTGAGAGAGAAAAAAAAAAAGCCAGAGTGCTGATTCCCTGACTCAGGCTTTAACTGCTACAAGAAAAACCTGACAGACATGAATGATGAAACCACAGGAATATGAGTGTCCAGAATTAAAAAAGGGGGGAAAAAACCCCAAACAATCTAAAGCGAAGTAAGTATTCTCTTAAGACTCAAGCCACACTTACAAACCGAGTTACTGATTCACAGCTGAGTGATCTCATACTATTCTTTAATTCATTTCGGTGAGATGAGCTTGCGTGTATAATTATGAGCACCAGAAACATTTAATCAGCAAATGAAGCCAGATAATTGTTCAGACCCAAACTCTCCAGAAGCACTCCTTCCTTTAACATACACTTTTCTGATCCAGATAATTAAAGCGCTTTCCCATCCATTTTTCTGACCATATGCTTGTAGCCATTCCTG